TACACAGTAATTTTAACTGATGACCACAAGTTTCGAGCACAAACTATTGCCACTCATAACCATATCAAGTCACTCACTCACACAACGTTCTTGCTTCAATTATATACATGAGTGAAACTGATGATTAGACACTTGAGTAAAAATCAATATGGGATACTGTACATTCAGAATTATTAATATGAGTGTTATTGATCAATTACAATCAGATGGGAAATAAGACGAGTGTTTTTATAGTCACAGTAAGTAACTTGTTAGAATGTTGTAATATGCTTGAATTGAAATAGAATACAATTTAAGATTATTGATTATCCTCCTCTGATTTGACTGACCGGCGGTAATGATATCTTCCATGTTTCTGGTATTTGCATTGAGTCATTGCTATTGCATGTATTGGATGTCGACTCAATGAACAAGGATTCAGTAATCAATCTACCTCTCTCTTCACCTATCTAGATTACTTTTTAGAACTTTAACCCTCTTCCACCCTATTGTATGGTTGTGTGTTAATGCATGCAGTGCAATGTAGTGTTGAGCTTTTTTCCTAAATTGCTTATCTTCTCGGGGTCAACCATTCTTACATTAGCTAAATTCTTATGTTCCTACAATCTGATTAACCTCAATCTACTAGTTTGACCTATATAGGTTTACCTCACAATCATTGCAAGGTATTCAATTCAAGCATATCACACCGTTCTAACAAGTTACTTACTGTGACTATAAAAACACTCGTCTTATTTCCCATCTGATTGTAATTGATCAATAACACTCATATTAATAATTCTGAATGTACATTATCCCATATTGATTTTTACTTAAGTGTCTAATCATCAGTTTCACTCATGTATATAATTGAAGCAAGAAAGTTGTGTGAGTGAGTGACTTGATATGGTTATGAGTGGCAATAGTTTGTGCTCGAAACTTGTGGTCATCAGTTAATATTACTGTATAACACCACTGTGTGACAGTTTATCAAAATAAAATCTTTTCCATAATGGAGTTATACTCTACCACCACAGTGCCCAAGTTTTATACTTATATCTAATGACGACTAGATCAATACAGTAAAAGAAACATAACTATAGTCAATGCTTGAAATTGTATACCAGTTATTCTTATATGGCCAGTAAGTGTTTGCATATATTTGTGCATTTACTGAATTTCATTTCGTGAACATAAGAGTAAGCGAACCATATAGAAAGAATAAGCGGAGGCTTGGTTTCAAATATCACTAACCTACTGCCTGCCCATTTGAAGTTTCTACTACTACTACTACTACTACAGTGTTAATCATACTCGAATCACACAAAAATATCTACTTTCAAGACTCAGAATTCACCTTACATCACGTGAAACAAAAAAAACAGATTATGCGAATGCCAGAAAATCTAGAAACTTTAAATTAAGAGTTGTACAATTAATTGATTAGTCAAGCTGGAAACAAATTTCAAGAGAAAAATTTGTTTATACCCATTCATGGTTAAAATTAAGGAATTAACCATAGTAACGTTCTTCAAAATAAACAAATGTTACAGAACTCGGTTACAGGCCATATATGTTCGTCACTTTTTTGGTAAAAGTGAGTGTTTATCAGTGTTTGCGTTGTTTGTGGTTTCTATTTTAAGGAGTATTTGTGTGTCAATTATATATATATATATATATATATATATATTAGTTTCATAGTAGATACGTTTATTTGAAATAACAGGTAGTGATGCAGCACTGATAACTGGGCAACTTTTCGAGCACAAATTATTACTGATGATCATATCAGTTTGATGTAAATGGAAATATGGATTTGTATTCCATCAATGTACCTTGGTCCAACACTTACATTAGATACTTTTAGGTGCTTTGATTTGATATTGGTAACTGACTATTGTGACGTGCATAGTCGTTTCTTTGCTGCAGACTGAATTCGATCAGTCAGGTTTGTAATGTGGATGCCATTGTAGGTAGTTCGCTATCACGGTACACACATTGACTTGATGATATTAGTTAAATGGAGGCTATCGGCCACAGGAAGCCCAGCCTGACCGAGGTTTCGTGCTAGCTGGCACTCACCAGTTAGTCAGTCAGCAAGGCAGGCGTATCTGCCCTGCTGACGAGTGCCAACTAGCACGAAACATAGGCCCAAGGAGTCCTGCCGACTACCTGCAACATCTAATATACTTTTAGGCATTTGAAGGAAATTTAATTGGTGTATGGTGACTAGCAGTGGGATCCAGAATGCGCATTTCGCCCTCTTTGGGACTCGTCATCTGGATACACCTGTCGAAATGAGGCCGAGCACTTCGGTTCAATCAATCGACGGGGGAAATCTAAAATTCACTTAAATAACTAGTATGACCCGTTGCACAAGAGGTGGCTCAAGTGGTCTAGTTGATAATACTTTACCGTTTGAAACTGTGGCCACTGAGTTCGAGCCTCGGTGGGAACATCATCACTCACTGAGAAATGCAGGTACATCTAGATGACGAGTCCCAAAGAAGGCGAAATGCTCATCCTGGATTTCACTGCTAATCACCATACACCAATTCAGTTCTAATTACATGCCCGGATATCGTCGAAGCATCTGCACAAGAAGCCGGCATGTCAACGTGAGGCCAAGCACTTCGGTCCAATCGATCGACGGGGAAATCTAAAATTCAATTAAATTTGAAGAAAATCCTCACAACTATTTCGCAGGGTGGAATTTCTCTTCCAAACCTTGAATAAGAACCAGAAACTAACTGGTGTTTTCTAGTCCCAGTAAAACGTCATTTCTTTGGCGTCGTCCTTATATGATCCTCAGTTATTCAAAAGCTTTCAGTTGACCCAAGATTGTGTCAGATGAAAAATGAAATCAAGTTGTTTTTAAGCAATTGTCTCTTTCATTAATTTTACATTATGGCTGGTAAATAAATATAGTGCTGTTCTGCTTGATAACCACTATGAACACGAGCAATTCGAAATTCTCTTCTTTTGAAAAGAACACTTTGTGACTGATATGTTCAAATTCCTTGTGATAAACTATGAGTGACCACCTTTAGTGATTACCAATGTGACTGTGATGATGTGGTTCATAACCCGTTATGTCCGTGAGTATTTTTCTTAACCCAAAAATGCTTTCCACAATTTGGATGACACCCTTTCTAATTTGATTTTTTTGATTTTTGATTTTTGATTTACAGCTTGATTCCACACTGTATTTTCGGTACAAGTATGGAATTTTCAGCATGGATATCGGTAGCCCAAATTTTAAACAATATATAATTTCATCTTTATTTTGTCTATTCGTGCCTGCCAAATGTAAGATGGTGCCACACAACTGGATCACACTGACTTCCAACACAGAGATAGGGAGTAAAGTGATAGAGCCGGTTGATTACTTGACTTATTTGGGAAGTTACATCAGCCAACGACAGGGGGTTGATGGCTGACGAAATCTCAGCACAGATATAGAAGGCTTGTTTGGCATATATGCGCCAATTTACGCTGTCTCTGGAGTAGACGTCATATCCGACTGGCTATCGACCAGAGGGCGTGTGTACTGCTCAGTAGTCCGCTACGTCCTCCCTTATGACTGGCTGTGAGTGACACATAGCCACTGAAAGTGGAAGACATGAAAAATCTAGTCAGTTGTCTTCGATCAAATGTGTCTGCGTTCTATCTCCCGTGTGTGTTAGGCGGCATAATTTTTCTTTCCTTCACGTTCCCCAGTGGAACATAGGGCCTCAGGCTAGTGGGGTTGCTAGCCTCATGCCCAGCCTTTCCTCTTTACCAGCATTAATTCTACCCTTGAGAGGTGAAGGAGTGCGTCGGCGGCTGGGGATCGAACTTCGCGCCATGTGCATGCTTGGCGAGCGTCCTAACCATTATGCCACCGACGCAGGTGGTATAATAGGATGAGGAATATGAAGGTTGGGCTGCGGTTGAGTTCTAGGTAAGAAAAGGAAGTCAGCAGACGAGGAGGTTGTGAAGTTACACTGATTGAGAGAGATGGTTAGGACGTGTGTTATGTATGCATGACCAACCATTCATTGGCTTCATCGACTACGGACAATGTTAGCTGACTGACATAGGATGGATCGGGTTGGAAAAGGCCACCACCAGTGGTGGTGGTTGTGGTGGTCAAACTGACACATGGCTTCATCAGTCAATGAAGTCCACAACAGTCAGTTTAAGCCAGCCAGCCAGCCAGCAAGCCACGTGGGGAGATGTAGGCTGCCTGACTCCCTTGTTGGAGTGCTCAGGATGGTAAAATCCGATGTCTGGAGACGATTGGTGATATGGACGGCTCAAAATCGTTCTCAGTGTCTGGCGGAGATGCATCCACTCCTTGTGACTTATAATGTCCAATAAAACTATATTGTTCTCCGACATTACTATTTTCTTTCGCCCTATATCTCTGTTTACTGTCTGTATTTTGCATTTCTTTTCACTTTATTCTCTTGCTCTGTGTGGTAGAAAAAAGGAGTGTGGCGACTTGGACTGCTGCACATCTGTGGAAAGTTGTCTGTTGAAACCAGTCTGTCGGTCAGTTCCTATTAACTGTATGTGCCTGAAACTTTAAACATTGTTAATCTTGAAACTAAAAAACGTCACTGAAGACGTCTTTGATCGTGGAACCCGTTGACTGGAATTACAGTCCTGCTGAAAAGTCGCAAACTAGGACAACGCAAAACAGCTGTTCAGTACTCCCTGCAGATTATCCAATGATTCCCTAACTGATGTCAACTCATGACGATATCCTCTAACCACCAAATTAATTTCTATAAAATGTTTGTTTAACTCTGGATATCTAGCAACTTCTAGGATTTCTTTCATCAACCGAACTGAACACCCCTGCTTTATTTGTAGACAATTCAGCGAGTGTTAATTATATGCTGTAAGTGGGTCGAAAACTGTAGTCAGTAATTTTGTAGTCATTTAATTGTTGTTGTCTTAGGCAACTAACTGCTCTTATTTCATGATTGTTGTTATGTGTATGTTGTTTAATTTTTTTTTTTGTTTCCGTTTAGTGTTTGCCGGCATGTCCATTGTTTATACAGCAACACGATGTTATGAAGTTGTAACAAAATATCCACACAATGCTGCATCAGGTGTTTACACTTTTTTCAAGATTTTATTTTTCATCACACAGACTGTCTTTCTGTTACTTTTGCACCGTGTAAGTATCATTCACTATACTGTTTTGCTGGTATACATATATATATATATCAACATTCTTTCCCTATGGATTTTGTTTGTATATATTTAGAAGATGATCTAACATTTATAGCATCACAGATGTATACAGGTGTGAAGTTATTTTGAACATCTGTTATCTGTGTTTTAATGGATACTAGTTTGAAATACACTGACCGATGCATTCACTGCCAGTACTGAATGTTCTGAAGAAGATTTTGTGATTATTGTATTCACTAACGTGCTATCAAGTAATGATGGAAGTAGATTCTCAGTGGAACATAGGGCTTAAACGATACACCCTCATTTCACTCCATTCCCTGCATCTCTTTTCAATTGGTTCCAAGCTTAGCTATAATTTTTTATCTCCTCATCACACTATTTTCCCCATGTCGCCTTCGGATGTCCAACTCGTAATCTCTTTTATATTGGGATTCCACTGGAAGGTCTGCTGCCTGATGTCACTTGATGAGTGTCCAGCTTATCTCAATTTATTATTATTATTGTTCCCTTGGGTTCCTAGTGGAACATAGGGCTTCAAATGCACATCTCCACTTGCCACTTCTGTCTTCTGCTGTACGTCTCACCTGCATCCATGTTAGTCCACACTGTTTCAACTCCTCTTCACACGATCTCCTATATGTCACCGTTGCACTGACGACCCACTCGCCGCTTGCTTCCCTTTCGGCCTGGTTCCACACGAACAATGGCCTGACGCGCGCGCGATGTCACCCAGCGGTGGCCTCCTCAGCGAGCGAGTGTCCAATCCACTCTCCACTTTCTCCTGCAGATTTGTTGGTTGGCGATTGGTTCTTGTTTTGTCTGTTAGTGCCCATAATTTCTTGTTGGTGATTCTTTCCGACCCGGCCATCTGATCTTCAGTATAGAGCCGGCGAAGACAGTTGTTGTTAATAAAGGTCTGCAACAGGCTGTTGGAAATATTCTTTGTGACCCGCCCGCCAAGTTTCTGATCCGTATAGAAGAACTGACCGACTTGACGTTTGTATTGAAAATCCTACCGAATTTTGTTGTTGATGCTGGCTGAGTGACGAAGATTTCCAGATTGGTTTCAGATTGATTGATGAATGTGTTTCTCACCTTCCCGAATCTCGCTCGATTTGACATCATCGTCCATTCCGAATTCCTGTAGTTGAGACAGTACTCCCTAGAAAAGTGAGTGAATGAAGTAACCTCTTTCAAATCCCTCCCGTTGATGGTGATGGTGATTGGCGCTGGATGTTTCTGTTGTTGTTGTTGTTGTTGGTTGGTTGGTTATTTTCATTACCTCCGTCTTGTCTATGTTCATCACCTGGAGTCCTGTGTTCGTCGTCTGCTTCTTCGATCAGTTTGTCGGTCGATTTTCGCTTGTAAGTCTTCGATTTTGTGTGTGTGACATCAAACATAAGTCATCCACACGCGAAATCCAGGTTTTCTGGGTTCTTCACATCGGTCCAGGATATCCCTGTCTTCTCGTTTCCCACTCACTGTCTGAAGCATAATCCAGTCGACCACAATTAGGAATATCATCGGTGATAGATAGTATGCACCCTTGTCTGACTCCTGTGTTTACTCCAAACGCCTCGCTGAGTTTTCCATTGTGGATCACTTGACATGGTCCGTTGTCGTACAGCTGTTGAATAAGGTTATTACTTCGTGGTCAACGCTGTCAAAGGCCTTCTCAAAGTCTTTAAAGTTGATGTAGAGGTTTGATTGCCATTCCATGCTTTGTTCGACCATGATGTGTAGAGTTGCAATTTGGTCAGAACATGATTTGCCTTTTCGACTATTACGCTACATTTTGGTCATAAATAAAATCTCTTATTACTCTAAAATTTTATGCAAAGTGTTTGCGGAAATTATCACAATTATTAACCTTTCGAACACTGAATCCAAAAAATACAATCTTATTGACAGATAATACACATAACTCACTGTTTGGATTTGTGGAATTTTTAAACATAAACACATCTATAATTGTATATATTGTTGGATTTATATGTTCAAGTTGCTCCAAGTCAGTGAGTTTATGGTTAAGATATCATTTTAGTTAACTGTACTGAACTATATTGCATGTTGTCTTATTGTATAGTTGTCGTCGCTTTTTGCCCTTTTTTCTGTGAACTGTTTCCTTTGTTGATGTTGTTCTCATTGTTTGTCCGTTATTTTCTGATTTTGAGGGGAGCAACCCAAAAAGTTGCTTCTCTCTAAACTTTTACTTAATGTAATCATTCTTTTCTCAGGCGTGAGGCTAGCAACCACACCCTGTAAACAAAGTTGCTACAGAACCTTCAGCAAAATGAACCTCTTTGCACCAAAAGAAAAAGTCTGTGTAGGAACATGGAACGTCCGAACTATGTACGAGACTGGAAAAGCTGCCCAGATCGCCAACGAGATGAAAAGATACGGAATACAAGTGCTGGGAATATGTGAGAGCAGATGGAATGGGAGTGGACTCACCAAATTGTCAACAGGTGAGTCAGTGATCTACTCCGGTCACCCAGAAGATAACCACACGCACACCGAGGGCGTGGCTATCATGATGTCACCAACGGCAACGAAAGCCCTGATACAATGGGAGGCGATTTCGTCCAGGATAATGACCGCCAGGTTCAACTCCAAAGGAAGGAAAGTGTCAATCATACAATGTTATGCACCCACAAACAACGCAGACCTCGAGAAGAAAGAAGAATTCTACAGGCAACTACAGGCAACAATGGACAATACTCCAGCTGGCGACATGAAAATACTAATGGGAGACATGAACGCCAAACTGGGACCAGACAATACGGGAAGGGAACTCATCATGGGTAGAGAAGCTCTAGGAGAAATGAATGAAAACGGAGAACTCTTCGCCGACTTCTGCGCCTTCAACGAACTGGTGATTGGTGGCAGTGTATACAAGCACAAAGATATCCACAAGGCTACATGGGTGTCACCAGACGGGCAAACCAAAAACCAAATCGACTTCATCTCAATCTCAAGGAAGTGGAGGCGCAGCCTACTGGACACAAAAGCAAGAAGAGGAGCAGACGTTGGCTCAGACCACTATCTCGTACAAGGGACAATCCAAATCAAATTAAAAGCTTTCAAAGAAGGAGGAGCTGCAGATAGACCACAAGCCAAGTTCAACACTCAAAAGCTGAAGGACCAGGCTACAAAGGACATCTTCATTGCAAGCATAAAGGACAAAGCCGAGACACAAATCAACACTAGCGAAGAGGTCGGCGTTGAAAAGCACTGGAACAACTTGAAAACGGTGTGGAGCCAAACCTGCATAGAAATTCTAGGCAGAAAAAAGAGACAGGACAAACAGTGGCTCACTACGGACACTTGGAAACTAATAGAAGAGAGAAGGACAGTGAAGCAAAAGATTATCCAGTGCACCGACGAGCAACAAAAACAGGAGCTGAATGCAAGCTACAATACACTGAACAAAAGAGTGAAGAAAAGTGCCAGGGAAGACAAAAGAAAATATTATGAAACCATGGCAAACGAAGCAGAACAAGCTGCAGGCAAAGGAGACCTCGCCACACTCTACCAAACAACTAGGAACCTTTCGGGCAAACGTTCGACACAGATTAAGCCAATAAAGGACGACAATGGAAAGTCAATCACCAAAGAGGTGGAACAGAGAAAGCACTGGGTTGAACACTTCAAAAGACTTCTAAATCGTCCGCCACCTACAACACGTCCAGCAATACCAACAACGGAAGCAGAACTACCAGTGAACACTGACCCCCCGACGAAATCAGAAGTCCTGAATGCAATCAAGATGCTTAAAACTGGGAAAACACCGGGACCAGATGGAATCCCAGCAGAGGCTTTGAAAATAGACCCAGAGACAACAGCGGACTTGATGACACCACTACTGGAGAAGGTGTGGAAAGAGGGCAAAGTACCCGAGGATTGGAAGAACAGTTACTTATTCAAACTTCCAAAGAAAGGAGACTTAAGTCAATGTAAAAACTGGCGTGGAATTATGCTTCTGTCCATTCCAAGCAAGATACTAAGTCGCATCATCCTGGAGAGAATCAAACAAGCCCTAGATGAAAAACTTCGTCCGGAACAGGCTGGATTCAGGAGAAACAAATCATGTATTGATCAAATCGCCACTCTACGGATCATCATTGAACAAAGCTTGGAATGGCAGTCACCTCTCTATCTCAACTTCATCGACTTTGAAAAGGCCTTCGACAGCGTCGATCGAGAGGTCATTTGGAAACTACTTCGCTACTACGGGGTCCCATCGACAATTATACACCTCATCCAACAGTTATACGACAATGCTGCATGCCAAGTAATCCACAACGGGAAACTTACGGAAGCCTTCGAAGTGAGGACGGGAGTGAGGCAAGGCTGTCTACTATCACCAATGATCTTCCTGATTGCAATTGATTGGATAATGCGACAGACAACGGCAACCAACGAGGGAACAGGCATAAAATGGACTGACACAAAAGACTTGGAGGATCTGGATTTCGCCGATGATATATGTCTGATTTCCCATAAACTGGAAGATATGCAAATGAAAAGTAACAAGTTGGCAGAAGAAGCATCAAAGATAGGACTTCACGTGAACATAGATAAAACAGAGATGATGAAGATTCCTTGCCAACATCAACAGCAACAACAGACCACAATAAGCATAAATGGGAAGAACCTGAAAGAAACAACCTCCTTCACCTACCTGGGAAGCATCGTCTCAACTACAGGCGGAACTGACGAGGACATCAAAGCCAGAATCGGAAAAGCAAGACAAGCTTTCATTACTCTCAAATCTGTGTGGAGGTCAACAGCATTCAGCATCAAAAATAAGATCCGGATTTTCAACTCCAATGTGAAGTCAGTGCTACTATACGGATCAGAGACTTGGCGAGTCATAAAGAGCATCTCAAACAAACTTCAAACCTTCATTAACAACTGTCTCCGCTCAATACTCAAGATCAGATGGCCAGAAAAGATCAGCAACAGGGATCTCTGGGAGCGAACCAATCAGGAACCGATTGTGAAACAAATAGGCAGAAAGAAATGGAGATGGATTGGCCATACGCTGAGGAAACCATCAAGTGACATCACTAGACAAGCCCTCGAGTGGAACCCGAAAGGGAGGCGGCGAGTTGGTCGTCCAAGGGTGACTTGGAGGAGGTCATGTGAAGAGGAGATGAAAGCATGTGGGCAGACCTGGAGCAGGGTGAAAAAGTTGTCAAAAAACCGAAGTCAATGGAGGTGCGCAGCTGAAGCCCTATGTTCCTCTAGGAACTAAAGGATACAATAATAATAATAATAATGATTTGCCTCTGCTGAATCCAGCTTTTCTGTTCGGAGTTCTGTCTCCATTGCGTCCTTTATTCTTTCCAGGATGATGCTACTCAGGATTTTACTTGGCGTTGACAGCAGCATGATTCCTCACCAGTTCTTGCAGAGTTCTAAGTCGCCCTTCTTTTGTAGTTTCACGAGGTAACTTTTCCTCCAGTCAGTAGGCACCTTCCCCTCCTTCCAGAGCTTTTGCAACAATGGAGTCAGCATATCTGATGCCGTCTCGGGGTCCGTCATCTCAATTTCTTTAGACGTTTTTCTTGGGTAATATGTTCTTCTTAGGTTCGCTACCACACTTTATTACTATCTTTCCTTTCTGGCTAACCATCACACTTTCACCATGGAGCTAGCGAACTCAACTATGTCGTCGGAAGTCTGCAGTAAGCTATTGGAAATAATTTTTTTTTTGGGTGGGGGTGGGTCGCCTCACTATTTCCCTTATGCATATAGAAGAACTAACTTTGTATGAGTGTCGGAAGTTCATTTCGTGTTCTATATGTTAAGTGCAGTAGACTTCCAAAGTGATTTCATTTTTATGAAGGTCTATCTGGCTTTGCCAACCGTTTCTTTGAAACTCTCACCTGTGCCACCAGTGGTTGAAACGAGATGCTGCACAAATTGGGGAGGAAGACATAACTTCCTTCGGGTTGCTCCGGTGGATAGTGAGTGATTGGTGCTTGCTGTTGTCGTTGGCTAGATATAATCATCACCTCTTCCTCCTCTTTTTGCCTTTACTGCTTTTTCCTTCAACTATAGATAGCTACACTGAAATGTCCTACTGTCTTTTCGTCTGACTTATTCCATGCACAAAAAACAGACAATATCTGTTTCTCATCCTCTTATATCGATAATTTCAGTGTGGTCAACGGACACATGATAGCAAAATTTTACAATAACAGGAAATGGATAGTCTTTATGCAAAATGCAATCTTATTAACGTTATCCAATTATAACCTTTATATCCGAATGAGTGTATGTATTTGTTGTAATGCAAGTTTGTTTTGCTAAGGCAGAAAATGTTTATCTATACTAGCATGATAAAAATAATAATAATGAAATCTTAGATTTTAAAATTCTTCACAAATTTTAATCTCTCGATATGTGCTTTCATTGTTGTAGAAACTTGACACACTTCTATGTTATTGTAGGAAGTTACAGTCACACGATGGCTAGTGCTTAGATGAAAGTTCATACAACCACCACACTTATATATTAGTGTTTTACTGCATGTAACTATCAGTCTATCAAATGACACTAATAATATTACATGGCTGGAGGCAATCGGTCACAGGAAGCCCAGCCTGACAAAGGTTTCGTGCTAGTTGGGACTCACCAGTCAGAAAGGCGTGTCCGTAACATTGAAGGAACTCATTTCCCAATGTTGCAGTCAGAGACGTTACCACTGAGCTATTCGGGCTCGCAACTGACCTCCTGTAGGACCGTTGTGGGCACTTTGATTGGGCACTAGTAAGTAGTGTGGCATGTCTAGTCCTTTCTTTCGTACAGCTTGAATTCTGTCAGTCAGGTTTCTCAATGTGGTCACATGAGTTCCTTCAGTGTTGCAGATACACCTTGCTGACTGACTGGTGAGTGCCAAATAGCACGAAACCTAGGTCAGGCTGAGCTCCCTTCCAATTGCCTCCAAGCATCTAACATCATCAAATCAATGTGCACCGCGATGGCGAGCTACCTAGAATGGTGGCCACATTGCAAACCTGACTGACTGATAGAATTCAGTCTGCACAAAAGAAAGGACTATGCACGTCATAATGGTCAGTTACTAGTGTCCACTCAAAGTAGACACCAATAATAATATTGTATGACTTTTTGTTCAACGCAATCACACAACCTCCGGAAATGATGGCTAGTCCAAACTGCTACTCGAAGGTGAACAAAACTGATTTCCAACTTGAATACACACTGACTTAACCAACTGGAATCATTGTTGACTTTGCCTTGAAATTATTCCCAAAACTGGTGAGTTTATTTTTTAAAGTAATGTAATTGACTGAAGGATTTCATCATGAGCTAGCACCACTTAGAGAATCACTGGAAAACCTGCAGGGAGTACTGGACAGCTGTTTTGCGTTGTTCTAGTTTGGGACTGTTCGTCAGTACGTAGTACAAAATCCCTACAGAAACTAATACTTAAAAATTGATCTAATACTCACCAGCGAGTGGCGCCATTCAGGCAGTTACCTGATTTCCAGTGGGAAGGTACAACAGGTTGAAGGTGGGGACAGTTACTGGACATCGAAGAAGACATTATGAAGTCGTTGTGCTATGTAGTGAATTGGCAGAAGTTGGAATTCATGGACTGGTCATTGGATAAGTTCCAGTGGGGGCATAATGGTCTACAAGCTCGCTAGCCGTGTAACCGGAAGGTCCTGCGTTCAAATCCTGTTGGTGAGTGCGCACTAATGAAGATTCTCAAACTAGGACAACGGACGGGAACAGTTGTCCAGTACTCCCTGCAGATTTTTCAGTGATTGTCTAACTGATCTCGGCTCATGATGAAACCCACCAATTTATTAGATTTAATCCCTAGGAAATATTAGTAAAAAAAAACATCAATTTTAGTTTTGCATGTATCTGAAAATGCGCACTTCATTTTTTACACAGACACATTTATTCGCTGTTACTGGGTTTCTTCATTCACTCTGTTTTTATTATTTCAATAACTTATTACAGATTGTAATTTTAGTGAGAATACGTGTCTTTAGTTTTATTTTGCTACACGTTCTAACGGTTAATTTATGCATATGGTCTGATGCTGTAATTAAAAAGATATCTAAAAGTATTGGAAGTATCTCACTGGTGAATGCAACTAATAGTCATATAAAATATGAACTTCCAGCAACCAACTATTTTCTTCCGGCTGTTCCTGAATATTGTGCAATTGCTGTGGCTGTGGTCTATGAATTACTAAATCGTGTTGGCCAGTTAAAACAAATTGAATGTCATTATGAGGTGAGTAACAAACACTTTGATATTTACACTCATGTTTAAAAATTAAGTTGGCCTATGGCCTATTTTATCCGTGTGCATTCTTAGTGGAGTATAGGGCTTCAAGTTGGAGTGTCACAGCTTCAGCAGGGTTGGGTTTCTAGCCTCATGCACAACCTTCTATCTTTACCAGTCTTAGTGATGACTACATGAGGTTCTGGAGCGCGTCGGCCAGGGATCAAACTGTTAACCTCAAGAATGGGAATCTTGCTAAAAGAGACCGAAGTTGGAAGCCGTGACCAGTAGGGTACAGCAGGTTGAAGATGAGGCAGTAACTCATCGAAGAAGACATTGCGAAATCACAAACACTACCGATTATCTTAAATTCTGTTTCGAAATATGTTGTCCTAAAGAAACATTATTCATTCGATTTGATCGCTTATCTTCGCCATATCTCAAAAAGCTACGTAGAAATAAAGGACTGTTGTTCAAAACAAATGATAAGCCTGGTGTAAAAAAGTTAAACATTCTGATAAAACTGGAAATAAAAAGACTAAGTGTTTTATATAATCAAAGATTTTTGTCATGTAAAACCCCTTCTAATTTATGGAAACTTTTCAAAGAAATTACTAACGGTAAGCGATGTATTTCTGTTCCATCTCTTAATGTTGACACTCTTAACCAATCTTTCATACGCTCTTCTGTTGATACCCTTCCAAATGATACAAATCATATTGACAATAACTTTAGTGGTTTTAATACCCTTGATGTGCTTAAATGTCTCCGGTCTCTTAAGCCTTCTCAAAGCCTTGGTCTTGACGGCATACCTGCCATTGCCCTCAGGAATTGTGCTGATATTTTGTGTTATCCTCTTACTAACATTTTTAATGCCTCTTTTTCCAGTAACGTTCTACCTTTTGCATGGAAAAGCATTAGAATTATCCCTATACCAAAACCATCTTCTGGTTCTGATATTAAATTTAGGCCTGTTGCAATTACTTCCCCCATTTTAAAATTGATGGAAAAATTACTTTTACTTCGTCTTGAACCTGCTTTGAAACCTTTCAATGATCCTAAACAATTTGCATATAAACATGGTAGAAGTACCTTGGATGCTGCGGTTGTCTTATATCACAATGTTGTCTCTTGTTTAGACAAAGGTGCTAAATATGTTCGTAGTGCTTTCTCAGACTATACATCTACTTTTGACTCTGTACCTAGGGGCATTTTATTAAATAAGCTATCGTTGACACAAACAGGATCCTGGGCTAAGAGTTGGTTGCATTCTTATTTTTCTAATAGAATCCAGTATACTGTATATAATGGCAAATCTTCTGCCTGGTTTACAAAATCCGGTGTTCCTCAAGGTGCTGTCCTCTCTCCTTTTCTTTTTTCCTACATGACCTACCTCATTCAAACGAAACTAATTTTGTCAAATATGCAGATGATCTGACTGTATCACTGCCTATCACTTCCGAGTCTGGCAGCTCCAAACTTAATAGCTTTCTGTTGGACATCAACAACTGGTCTAAGTCGAATGGTCTTATGTTAAATCCTTCCAAATGTCAGGTGCTTGACTTTACTTTCAAGCATCGACGTGACATACATGAACTAGTTAGTTCCCAAGATGCCTGTAGCATAGATGGCACTGAAATTGAAACCAAGTCAAGCATTAAATACCTTGGATTAGTTTTTTCCTCTGACCTTTCACGGTCATCCCATATCTTATCAATCTCTAAGAAAATGTTTCGTCTTACCTTCTACATTAAAAAGTTAAGACAATCAGGTATCAACCAACCTTTAGTTTTGCAATTTTTAAACTCCTGTATTTTACCTATTGTACTCTGCTGCTCTCCATTAGTCTTTCCTGGGCTTCTCAAAAAAGATTATATCATATTACGAAGAGTATTAAATGCTGTGAGTAGAGCTTGTGGTCTACCACTGCATGAGCTCGCTAATACTATAGTCGAGAGGCATATAAATTCCTGTACGAAATGGGCAAAGGCTATAATGTCAGACCCTCTGCACTCCCTTTATTCACACCTATCCCCCTGTATCTCATCAGGTAGGACGAGAAGTCAATATAAAAAGTTATATGATCGTACTACTAAGTATAGAAATTCTACAATACCCTATTTAGCCCGTACTTTATGTGACGAAGACTCTGTTAGACGTGAAACTTACAAGTTACTATGTAATTAGCACAGTGAATCTACCCTTTTATCGTTTCATCTTTATGTATTTTATGGTGTCACACTTTCTATCGTTTAAATCGTTACTCTGCTATTTTATTTTTAGTTGGTATTACTATTATTACTACAATTTTGTACTTAATACATATTTTTCTCCGTATGGCACACAGTATTTTGCTACGTGGCTGCTATAACAATCGTTTTATTACTATTATGTAATAGGTATTTTTAATTTTTTTTGTCGTTTTTGAGTAAATTAGATGCAATACTGTACTGAAATGCTGAAAATTCCTTGCTGTATCATCAGTACTGTTTTTGGAATAAAGCTATTATTATTATTATTATTATTATTATTATTATTATTTAATCTTATCTTAGTTTCTAATCGATTGACGAAAACTGATATATGAAACTTACAATTCTAATAGTTTTACTCTAGAAACAACAACAAAATTAAGCGAAGAAAAATACATTCCTTTTCAATTAGTCCCTTATCATCATGTCTGGCTGTCTCTACACTAATACGTCGTTTTTTACATCAAAATATTTTGCCAGTCAAGTGGTCATTTCAGTTAATCAGTTTTAGGTAGAGGCGGCGTGGGTGAACATAAGAGGTTGAAGGTCATCAAAACAAATAACTAATAGACATTAGTAACAAAATATGTAAAGTTTTTATGGAGGGTTGAAAATTAATTCATAATGGAATTCAAGATAAGTCAATCCGTAGGCGTCAGCAACAAGTTATTACGCAATGAAGAAATCTGTAAAATAACAGTGATGACTAAGAAGAATAGTATGACTCAGAACAATTACATAAATTATGAACCAGTTAATTGAATTAGGTAGAATTGTAAAAATTAACAGAATCAAAACATAGTTACAATGGGAAGGAGGGGGTAAACGTTTTTAAAAACTTAATACATATTATGTAGTTGGCCATGGCAAAAAAAGGGGCTGTACAAATTCCTTTTGAACACATGGATTTGATTACAGGCTTTCATCATAAGCTGACATTGGCTAGAGAACCATTGAAAAACCTGCATGGAGTACTGGATACCTGTTTCGTCCTAGTTTGGGAATCATCAGCAGTACACTCCCCTACAGGAGTTCGAACCGAAGACCTTCCGGTTACAAGGCTAGCGAGCTCGTAGACCACTAAGCAGTCACTGGGACCCTATCCAATGGCCAGCCAATGAATTCCAACTTCTGCCGATTCATGACATAGCGCGAGCACTTCGCAATATCTTCTTCAATGTCCAGTAGCTGTCCAGTACTCCCTGCAGGTTTTTCAGTGGTTGTCTAACTGATGTCAACTCATAATAAAATCCTCCAACCCCATTAAAAACGGATAGACGTTAAGTCACAATATTTAATCGGAATCACCCTTGCATCTTAATACAACTTAATACGCCTTGCATTATTGTTCTAAATCACAATAGTCACCAATATCTCAAGAGTATATTTTATTACTAAAACTTAAAATCTCACACAAATACCACGTTTCAAGTCCTTTCGGATACAGCGAAATAAAGACGTGCAACTTATGACAAGAATTATGATCGAAAAATAAAATTATGCAATACTATTTCTAAACATATGGTGTGGCAGTTTTGAAATTTAATTTCCATTTCAAACATTTAAAAATGGCAAAGAATTGAATATTCCATTGCAAATCTTCAAGAAAACTTCCAAATACACCTGGGACTAAAAATGGGGAGTTTTCTTTCAACCTTTCTGCATCAGAATCCAATATTACAGTGATGCAATGCATTATAGGGTATTTCGTTTGATTAGTTGGAGGATTTTATGATGAGATGACATGCACTGGTAGAAGCTGGAATTCATGGGCCACCCATTCGATAGGGTCTCAGTCGCTGCTTAATGGTCTACGAGCTCGCTAGTCTTGTATCCGGAAGGCCCTGGATTCGAACCCCTGTGGGGGTGTGTACTGATGATGATCCCTAAACTGGGACAACGGAAACAGCTACTCAGTACTCCCTCCAGGTTTTTTCCAATGGTTCTCTAACTGATGTAAGCTCATGATGAAATCCAATCAAACTAATCAAATAATCATCCCCACGAAAGCAATGCTTGACTCTTCTTTAATTCACTGGAGCTCTCTTTTAATGTAAGCCTCTTTATACACGTGTATCAGCTATAATAATAGTAATAACCATGAGACAACAGTACAAGTAAAACAACCACACATGCAGCTGTGAGAAACCTGACTGTTTATTATTTCATTTTGTTCTTTTGAATTGTAATTTCTGAAATTAAAATCCACACTAAACGGTTTTTATATCATGAGTGTACTTGTGCTCACTAACTGACAGACAAAGAAACCTTATTTTCAGTTTGTGGGGAAGAAAATCTACTTCATTCTGGTTTCTATATAATACTGAATAGTTTTATTGCAATTTTAAACATATATTTCGACGAACTCAACTGAACTACCCATTCAGAAAGAGTTGTGCTTTTATTAAATGTGAAAGAGAGCGAAGGTTTGGTGTTCGTTCTAACGAACGCTATCACTTTTCACTTGTAATACTTCAACAGCTATGTGATAATGCCACATGTCAGGTGGTTAACAAGGAAAAACTTAGATAAACTCTAACTATTTGGCAGTCAATTCTCTACCTCGAATTCGTCGACTTCGATAAGGCCTTCACCAGACACAGTTGACCGAGTGGTAATTTGGAAACTACTTCGACATGACACGGTGAGCAGTGCCCAAGTCTTTATCAACCTCACTCAAAAACTGGCTATATGACGGTGACACGTGTCAGGTGATCCACAATAGGAAACTCAGGAGTAGTACAAGACTGCGTGCCTGTTATAACAAGTGATGACGTTCTCAATTGTGGTGGACTGGATTATGCGTGTCAGACTCTGCCCCTATAAGAAGATTCTAAAAGATCTGGATTTCGCAGATGACATATGTTTAGTATCACACAAACTCAAAGACTTGCAGACGAAAACAAACAAACTGGCTGGCTGGCTGAAGAGACTGGCTCTCAGTAAAGACAGGACTGCAGGTGAACATATAGAAGGTGGGGATGATGAAGACACCCAACAACAACCAGAACTAATCATTGTCAGCGGGAGAGATTTGAAAGAGGTTACTTCCCTCACTTTTCTAGGAAGCACGATTTCAACAACAGGCGATCGGAATGGATAAAGATGTCAAAGCCAGTCAGACAGCCAGGATCGGAAAGGTAAGATACGCCTTGCCTTCATCAACCTGAAAGCAGTTTGAAAATCCTCTGCACTCCACAATAAAAAGAACAAGATTCCGATTTTCATTAAATATGTGAAGTCACCTACTACTTCTAAATGAGTCAGCAGCTTGGTCAGCATGTTACGAAAAGGATTTCCAACAAGCCACTGCAGACTTTTATCAACAGCTCAATCCCTTCGTTGACTGGCTGCATACTGAAGATCAAATGACCAGCAGACTAGCCAGAAAAAATTAGCAACAAGAAAGTCCGACTGGCTGGGAACAAATCAACCAAACAGCCTATCGCTCAGCAAGTGGATATGCAGGAGAAAATGGAGATGATTAGGGCATACGTTGAGGAGGAGGCCGTTGAATGACATCGCGCACCAGGCCATCGCTTGATATATCAATGTATCTAGGAAAGGTGTCGAATAATCCCTACTGCATGTATTTTCAGCTGATTCCATAAATACAGGTTCACTTACCAATCTCGCCCTCAATCATTTTATGTTCGGTTTAAAAACTGTCATCATATCGCATTGGATGGTTGTGTGTAATTCCTTGTAGTATTATAGCTGAGTTATTTTCTGGATTTCTTATCTTATTAGAGTCAAATAATCTAGATTTTGCTGGTAGGTTTTTGTGCTGCTCTAGTCTGACTGCCGCTCTCCTACTATTTTCATTCATGTTTTCGACCTAACATTCATTGAAGTGTATTAAATAAGCTAAATTATTTGGTGGCTTTTAAGCCCACAAACTTGCTTAAAAACCGATTATGATAACGGAGGCTTTATTTGTAGAATCAAAAAGGGGAAAATACGTACAATGAGAATGATTCATCACCTGTCCTGGACATCTAGAGACTTGCATTACTCTGAATGCAAGTGGAAAGAAAGAAACAAATCAAGTTTCGAAGTTGGTTGGTTATAATTGTGATTATGAACAGTAAATTTACTGTTGGGAACGTCATTCAGTAAATAATCCTGTTTCACTGTGGGGAATATCCAATAAACAAGTATAGAATTACATATTACCACAGTGCTGAAGTTTTACACACAGGGAAATTCACTTAACTCGTATATGTATGTTTAATTAATCCTGCTCAACGCCAAGTTTTCAGTCTGTAAAATGTCTGCGGATAAGATATTTCACGAAGCTGTACTTCAACCGATAGCTGCCCTCATTAATACCTGGAAGGGCTTGACTTCCTGTCGAGTAGTGAGACAAGCAAATCGACAGTTCTGTGTCAACGCAGTGTTATGTAGGCCAAAAAAAGAGAGAGATAGCCACCTAGCAGGATATCGTCTAGGGCACCCGCCCTCACAGTTCTTTTCTTACTTTAGCAAACTCTTTTTGGAAACTGGTTCCTTTTTTGAAAAGATCGCAATTCAAGTGGGAATTCCAATACTTAGAAATATATATTCAACTGAAGTCGGTAGAGGAGAATGATGTTCAGGAAGGCTTCGTGTGCTTTTAGAAGTATGTGGGCGGTTGTTACTTCCCAGCTGCCCACACAGTGAAAGTTGCTTGATTCTTCAGGTACTTGAAACAGAGAGAGGGTTACTGTTGCATGACCGCAGAGCCCAGGGGGCAACTCCTTGAGGCCGGTAACACACGGCCTACATGTACTAGTTTCTTGGTTTGGTTCCGTATTAGTAAGCTTACCGGAGGTTACGGACCACCGTAGGGTAAGTCGGGATGTACAATTTTGGGGTTCGACCTTTTCTAACTTCCTCTCTTCAGTGTGGAGAGACAGCATAGCTGGCATGCTGGTCATCTGAGGGAGACGCCTCCTTGGTGTTACACCACTCTTCCTCAGCAGTACGACTTCGCCCTCAGACCACCTACATAGTGTAAGAAAGATACTTAAACTACGCCAGTAACTGCTTTCAGCCTAATCGCTATCCTAACAATTATCCTGGCATGATAGGACCTGCAGGAACATTTGTTTCGGCCAGTTTACCTTGTTGTGTCTTCGCGAGGTGCAAGCCGACCACCACGTCTAAGTAGCAGCTGTCGGTTGACTTGTCACCAGGGAATAATCTCGCTGACTTAGACTATGCAGATGATATAGACTTTCTAGGCGAGGACGCTGACAAAATGCAGAGTCTTCTGAACGCCTTGAGCTGCAATCTACGAAAATTTGGCATGCGATTCGCTCCCGTCAAATGTAAGATGATACTACAGGATTACTCTGGACTACACTGACTCCTAGTTTAGAAATAGGGAGTGAAGTGGTTTGTGGAGAGTGTTGACCGCTTCACTTATTTGTGAGGTAACATTAGCCAGCGCCAACGGGTTGTTCTCTGACGAAATCTCAGCACGGATACACAGGGCTAGTTTCGCATATGCCAGTTTACGCCGTCTCTGGCGTAGACGTGATATCCGGCTGGCTGTCGACCAAAGGGTGGGAGTTCTGTTCATCAGTCCACTCCGTCCTCCTTTATGGCTGGCTGTGAGACCTGGTCATTAAAAATGAAAAACATGAAAAGGTTGGATAGCTATCTTTGGTTATATGTGTCTGCGTTCTATCTCCCGTGTGTGTTAGGTGGTATAATAGGGTGAGCAACATTGAGGTTAGGCTTCGGTTGAGTGCTAGGTATGGAGAGGAAATCAACAGACAAGGTTGTGAAGTTACACTGAATGTGAGAGATGGCTGGGGCATGTGTTATGCATGCATGACTTTTCTCGACTACGGACATTGTTAGCTGAAATAGGATGGATAAGGTTGGAAAAGAGCCAGTCAGTGGTGGTGGTCGAACCGACACATGGCTTCATCAGTCAATGAAATCCACAACAGTCAGTTTAAGCCAGCCAGCCAGCAAGCCACGTTGGGAGGTGTAGGCTGCCTGATTCCCTTGTTGGGGTGCTCAGGATGGTAAAATCCGATGTCTGGAGACGATTGGTGATATGGACGGCTCAGAATCGTTCTCAGTGTCTGGTAGAGATGCATCCACTCATTGTGATATTATATCCAATAAATTTATATTGTTCATCCATATTACTATTCCCTTAGCCTCATATCTCTTTTTACTGTCTCTATTATGCATCTCTTTATACTTTCTTCTCTTGCTTTGTGTGCTATAAGAAGGGAGTGTGGCGTGTAGAACTGCTGCACATAGGTGCAAAGTTCTATGTCAAAAACAGACAGACAACTGAAGTAGGTGATTCTTTGACAGAATGCCAGGCAACTGCGCACTTGGTCTCGGAAAACACACTTCTAAACTTCCCTTAGCCCAAAGTAAGTGCAGAAGAGCGAACATTTCTGCCATTGAAACTTCAAATCTTCATTTCGAAGTCCTTAGTTCTATTCCAGACGCTAAGCAATGAAGAAAAATAATATAAGATTAATATTAGCATATTAAAGATGCTTATTCTGGTAAAACCACGACTTATATAACAATTTTAGATTTGTGCATATTTATGTGAATCAATTGTTCAATTTTTTAAAGTATGTTCCTTGTAATTATGCCTTTCAAACTACTTTTTTTTTGGTTTCTAATTCGAACTAATCCAATTAACTGTTTCGTTTTTTTGTACTTTCCTCTTCTCTTTTTTTCATGTTGACTAATCAGAAAAAGAAAGAACACAGCTTGAAGTTTATTGATCGTGGGTGTATTGGTATCATAATTGGAACAATTATCATTTGTATCGTCATGGGGATTGTAATGTTATTAGAGATATGGGGTAAAAAATTGCACGGTAATGCATATATTGCTCACTCAACGGAGACTAGCATTCTCTTCATCATGGCTTTGATATTTTGTGTCTCCGGTATCTGTAGTACACGCCGCCTGAAATTCTCTGTGAATTTTTCTAATCAAAATCTGGACAGTAAATTATTAATCGTCACATTTTTTATGACTGTCTCCTTCTTAGTTGCTTGTGCTGTTTTAAATATCATCTTTCTGTCGAATAAAGCATTGAATGATGTTCAACAACAATACCTTAAATTGCATTTATTCACAGTGCTATTGGAATTAGTACAAGTTACGGTACAGAATTATTTTATTAATGATCTATTCTATCGTTGTTGTCATGATAAATCGTATCAAGAATGCAAGCCAGGTCGAGCTATGATCGCTTTATTATCCGCTATAAACTTCTCGCTGTGGATGATATACAGTTTTCAGGTGAGTTTATGCTTTATATAAACAAGACAACACAACTATTACTTACTTTTTTATTCTTCCAATTCAGACTCAACCCATTGGTCGCTTGCACCGAAATGTTCGGCCTCTATTGACATGTCGATGTCTTGTGCAAATGCTTTGACAATGTCTGAGGATATAACAGAACCAATTGATCACGGATTGATATCATTTAGAGAACCATTGAAAACCAGCATGGATTACTGGACATCTGTTTCATCTCAGTTTGAGAATCATCGCCAGCACGAACTTACTGGGTTTCGAACCGAGTGGTCGTGCTAAATCACGAATTAGTAGAAGTCAGAATTCATGGATTGGCCATTGAATCGGACCCCAGTGACTGAACAGTACACAACCTTGGAAAATCCTGGGTTAGGGACCAGTGGGTGCGGACTGCCGAAGATTCCCAAACTAAGATGAAACAGCTGTCCAGTAATCCAGTATTTCCTGGTTTCCGATGCTTCTCTAACTGATATCAGTCCGTGATCAACTCGTAAAAACAAAACTAACCTTTACTAACCAAACTACAGTAAATAACACAACGTTTCAATTTTGTGAAAGACGACGAACTACTTGTCAGTAGAATAATTGTAAACATTAATTTAATAGTTGGTCATTTCAAAATTATTATTATTATTATATGCTTTAGTTCATAGAGGAACAAAGGGCTTCAGCCGCGCGTCTCCATTCCCTTCGGTTCTCTGCCAACTTTTTCATCCCGCTCCAAGTCTGTCCACATGCTTTCATCTCCTCCTCACATGATCTCCTCCAAGTCACCCTTGCACTGACGACCAACTCACCGCTTCCCATTCAGTCGGGTTCCACTCGAGCAATGGCTTGTCTAGTGATGTCACTTGATGTTTTGTTTCCTCAGAGTATGGCCTATCCAATCCATCTCCGTTACTTCCTGCATATTTGTTTCACAATCGGTTCCTGGTTGGTTCGCTCAGTTCCAGAGATCACACTCTGTTGCTGATTTTTTGTGGCCATCTGATCTTGAGTATATATATCCAAACCAAGTTCACTTTTAACGGTTTGAAAAAATTTGGGCATTGGGTATATGATATTCATTATAATAGAGGTATTTTGTATTTCCCAATGAATGAAAAAACAAAACGAGATTGTTTTTACTGACGTTTCGCTATTTAATGCTAATAGCTTTCTCAAAGTATTATTAAACCGGAATTTACAAAATCTCAGCATATATATAACAAAGAGTTAGGAGGTGAGAAAAATATAGACTTAGTTCAACTTAAAAGGACATATCGAAAGTCAAAATAACAATGAAGATCATTGAATTGAATTTTTGATTTTCCCGTCGATTGATTGGACCGAAGTGCTCGGTCTCAGGTTGACATGTCGGCTTCTTGTGCAGATGCTTCGACGATGTCTGGGTATTTAATTAGTATACAATTGGTGGATGGTGGCTAGCAGTGGAATCCAGGATGCGCATTTCGTCCTATTTGGGACTTGTCAGCTGGATGTACCTGCATTTCTCACTCGCAGAGAAATGCAGGTACATCCAGCTGACAAGTCCCAAATAGGACGAAATGCGCATCCTGGATTCCACTGCTAGCCACCATCCACCAATTGTATACTAATTAAATACCCAGACATCGTCGAAGCATCTGCACAAGAAGCCGACATGTCAACCTGAGACCGAGCACTTCGGTCCAATCAATCGACGGGAAAATCAAAAATTCAATTCAATGATCTTCATTGTTATTTTGACTTTCGATATGTCCTTTTAAGTTGAACTAAGTCTATATTTTTCTCACCTCCTAACTCTTTGTTATATATATGCTGAGATTTTGTAAATTCCGGTTTAATAATACTTTGAGAAAGCTATTAGCATTAAATAGCGAAACGTCAGTAAAAACAATCTCGTTTTGTTTTTTCATTCATTGGGAAATACAAAATACCTCTATTATAATGAATATCATATACCCAATGCCCAAATTTTTTCAAACCGTTAAAAGTGAACTTGGTTTGGATATATATACTCAAGATCAGATGGCCACAAAAAATCAGCAACAGAGTGTGATCTCTGGAACTGAGCGAACCAACCAGGAACCGATTGTGAAACAAATATGCAGGAAGTAACGGAGATGGATTGGATAGGCCATACTCTGAGGAAACAAAACATCAAGTGACATCACTAGACAAGCCATTGCTCGAGTGGAACCCGACTGAATGGGAAGCGGTGAGTTGGTCGTCAGTGCAAGGGTGACTTGGAGGAGATCATGTGAGGAGGAGATGAAAGCATGTGGACAGACTTGGAGCGGGATGAAAAAGTTGGCAGAGAACCGAAGGGAATGGAGACGCGCGGCTGAAGCCCTTTGTTCCTCTAGGAAGTAAAGGAAATAATGATGAAAGTTTTTGCTTTTAATTCATTCAACGTCATATTACGTTCCCGTAATTATAAAATGCTTCAGTTAACCGTAGTGTGACTACTTATAATTTTGTGTCACAATATATATATATATATATATATATATATATATAATTTATTCATTAAATGTATACCTTTTTTTTAATATTAGGCAAAACACAACAATATTCTGCTTAGTTTTAACAGTGAATATTTGGAGAAAAGTGAACTGCAAAGTTTGTTCATTTATATCAGCGTTGCGCTGCCTATGGTTATGCTGTATCGTTATCACAGTAGTGTTTGCCTAGCCATCGAATATATCCGGGTCTATGAGGATGAAGTTACACGCTATGAAAGTATGCTACGTGGTGTACCGCATACCAAGACTCTACCGTTCGGTTCAAAATGGGAAATTGTTGAATCCCAGTTTTCAGATTCACTTTCTGACGACAAGCTTACAAAAGCGACAAGATCAAGAGCTTTATCTGAACCTGCTATAAAGTTGGAAACAGCTACTTATCTGAAAGAATTCAACAATATAATTAATGGATCAAATTTACACGACAAAGACAAACAAGATGTTAAGTTGAACAAACTAGACGCACCGAATTCACAAAAGTACGCTAAACAAAATAAACGTCGTACAACACACATCAGTATGGAGTTGGCACAATATCGTGTAAATGCCAGTGAAATGGAGCATCGTTTAGCTGAAATGAAACTGAAGAAGAATAAACGTACAAAAGATGATCAGACACCAAATGAAAGGTCGACGTTGAATAAAGTCCCTGTGAATAAAGAATCAGAACCAAGTATGTCAACTTCACTGTCTGACAGCGCTTTATCCACAGTTCGCACAACTGATACTATTGATGAAGAAGACGATGAAACTGAAGGCATTGATACTGACGATTATCGAAGACCAACCTCATCTTCAGAGTCTTGTTATCACACTAAAACAGGCGACGACAATAGCATATATTATGCAAAAAGTCAATTATAATATATCTGAACATACATAGCCAATCTTCTATCAAGTAAGCAGAATCATAAATTTCTGTAGTGAAATACTATTTTTTTGAGCTGAATTTCTTTCTGATTGCCAATAGAAGTGCCCAAAATAATAATTCTCTGTGAACTTATCGACTATTATCTCTTTGATTCGGTGTATATGCTGAAGATGCCTTCTAGCCATCTTAAAGGTGCCTTTTCTTTGTTATTACTAGTATTCTTTCTATTGATTTATTTTTGCACATTTGTATAATTCAGTCACCATTTCTGCAATCAGTTCAATCACTTTGTTTCGCTTAAAATGTCGTCTGTCTGATACTGCTGACAAACTCGAACACTGGTGATTCGTTTCTGCTGGCGGTGGTCTAACGTGCGTGATACTGTATGCATTTCTGCGTCATATTCAAGCTATGATGATTGCAAAATTTTCGCACCAGGCAAGTGTTATTCTAGATCACGTAAACGACTTTATGTATATATATATATATATATATATATATATATATATATATATATATATATATATATATACATTTTCGAATTTTCGGCTTTGTAAACGTTTTAATAAACTTATACACATATACATCAGTTATTAAAATGTCAGCTTTAGTTCTAAATTCATGCTCGTGTATTATTATTATTATGTTCATTCCAAACTTTGTATGAGTGATTTACTTATTTTCTCGTATTAAAATTAACATCTTTATAAAAAAACAGGTGTCAACTTCCTCACATAAAATTCAAATATTTACAGCACAATACGTCTTTTTCAATCCGTCTGTCTGTCTTTTTTCGACGTAGAACTTTGCACCGACACGCAGCAGTTTAATTCGCAAAACACTCACTCCTTGTGGCACATAAAGCAAGAGAAAAAAGTAGAAGAAATTCATAATAAAGACAGTAAACAGAGGTGTGAGACAAAGGAATAGTAATAACGAAGAACGATATAGTTTCATTGGAAATCATAAGTCACAAGGAGTGGGTGCATCTGCGCCAGCCATTGAGAACGATGTCTTTGAGCCGGCCATAACATCAACTGTTTCCAATCATTGGTGTTTACCGTCCCGAGGACCCCAACCGGTCAGGAGGTCTACACCTTCCTACATGGCTGGCTGACTTAAACTGACTGTTGTGGATTTCATTGACTGATGGGGCCATGTTTTGGTTTGACCACCACTGGCTGAGATTTCGTCAGAGAACAACCCGTTGTCACTGTCTGATGGTACTTCCCAAATAAGTGAAGCGGTCAACACTCTCCACAAACCACTTCACTCCCTATTTCTAAACTAGGAGTCAGTGTAGTCCAGAGTAATCCTGTAGTATCATCTTACATTTGACGGGAGCGAATCGCATGCCAAACTTTCGTAGATTGCAGCTCAAGGCGTTCAGAAGACTCTGCATTTTGTCAGCGTCCTCGCCTAGAAGGAATATATCGTCTACATATTCTAAGTCAACGAGATTATTCGATGGTAGCACGTCAGTCCCTGAATCTCTGAAGTCACTTAGGGTTAAGTCCACCAGTTCATCTATGATGAAATCGAATAGAAATGGTGATAATGGGCATCCCTGGCGGACACCACCGTTCGTCACCACTTCAGGTGACAACAAGCCGTAAGCCCTCACCTGGCTGCATAAGTTGGAGTAGAGTGAGTCCCTTGATCAGTGCAATGTATTTATGATTACTATTGAGCCTAGGACTTTAGATACTATATTAGTCAAGCTAATCCCTGTGTGACTGTCACAGGAAGACCTACTCTGTAGCATCATTTCACTTTAAAAGGTATGAACTACATGCCGATATACTGAGATGTGTGATTGGAGGGCTCAGAATACTGTATTCTGTGTCAGACAATTTACCTAAAAACGTTTACATAGTTTGCATACTATAAATAAACTAGAATATACTCTGGTGACGAATCTAAGTTGATAAGGGTCACATTGGGCTAAGAATGCGCCTACTGTCAAATGAAACAAAATGTAGACAGTTAGGGTCACTGATGGATACCAGTGGTTGTCTCCACTTCATGGAGCTGCTCTCCATAAGCTGTTACACAGTCGCAGGAGTTTTAATAAAGAGTCCTGGCTAGGAAAATATGCTTTCTTGACGCATAATTCCCAGCCAGATGTTTCCAGAGCACTTCTCGGTGGGCGAAATCAAGTGTGGCCCCCGGGGGGAACAAATATAGCACGTACAGGAATTAAATGAGTGTACTTACGTGCGCCGAGTCAAATAGTGGAGAGAAGCTTTTAAAAATCATGGGAATATTATATATGACAGTAAGAAGACCGCGTGTAATGAAAAGTGTATAGTAAATACCCTCATACTCTGAGGGAAAACTTTGTTATTTCCCTCAAACTAATTTATCTCAACCAGGACCATATATATATATATTTAACAGAAGACAAGGGCCAGACAACAGATCGTCTATTAAAGAAATCAACACATATTTATATATTTTCACGTACATCATGTACATTATTTAAGGATTATTTCCTTAATAAACACAGTTCTCTGACTGGTTGTTTCTCACTGAAAGTCTGAAGCTGTTTCTTGATCATCTATATGCTAACTGCATCCGCCTACGCAAATCCTTTGTTATCATTTTTCTCACGACCAATGTTGGGGACATAAACATTGACGTAAATTACTGTCTATCAACGTAGGCTAGCAGCCAGCTCTCTCTCTCTCTCTCTCTCTCTATATATATATATATATATATATATAGTATACTTTAACTGAACTGCAGGTAGTTAGTACGTAAGCGAAGATCATGAAAAGGCGACCACAAGAACCACTCTTTTTCTCTGTTTCCATGGGTGCGTTCAATTATATAGAACATATACTGCTGTCTATCTGGATCCAATCAAGTTTTGACTGAAACATGTTCCTACATCAACAGATCCACTTTTCCCGTCTAAAGAATCTCCTAGCACACATAAGACGCATTATATAAGTTCACTGTGCTCTCTAAGCGGATGCGTATATACCTGTCCCCAAGACACAACATACATCCAAGGCTCAAGATGCTGGAATTTAAGCTGATAAAGTCTCTTTTTTGATTTGACACTAGTACTTAGTGAGATGCATCTAGTCCTCTGATTGGTGTAGACTGAATTCTATCAGTCAGATTGTAATGTGACCACCATTCTAGCTAGCTCGCCATCACAATGCGCATTGATTTGATGGTATTAGATGGTTGGAGGCAATCGGCCGCAGAGTGCCTTGCTTGACCTAGGTTTCGCGCTAGCTGGCACTCGTCAGCAAGGCGTATCTGCAACCTTGATGGAACTCATGTCCCTTCTGAGATTCGAACCCGCGTCACCCAGTGCTGCAGTCAGAGTCTCTTGCCTGATCTGGTACTAGTTGCCAATGTTAAGCATGCCAATGTCAAGTTGACAGCGAGATTTAAAGCGACCAGAAACCGTACCTTTCCAGCTCAGTTCAGTAGTAGTGTTCACACAGCTAAGAGAAGACAAAAAAGCTGTCTAGCAAATATTATTGGACAATGACCGTAGAAACTTCGTCCGCTTGTAAATGTCTAGGTGTTTACTCCTTCCTGAGTGCTCACACCACAGAAGCTGATTATTTCTTGAAGAATCTGGAAGAGAAGAATTTCTGGTGTTATCCGACAGAGTAGGCGAGGGAATGAATGCTTGATGCTGGTCATGGATAGACTGTTCGGAGTAGTTTGAAGATTGCGCTACGCTCCTAGCAGCCGACAGTATGACATCATCCTTAAATCCCTAACACAGTTTTAACAAAGCACACGATGATTGTACGTGTCTATAGTGTAACCGCTATCTAAGCAACATTCCTGGCATGGCCGGACCTGCATAAACATTCACTTCAAGCAGTATGGTTCATTGGTTCATCGTCATGCTAAGATAGCAGCTGTCGGTCAATATACGTTCTTATCAGCAGAATTGTTAATCCCACGTCTACTGATCACCACCTCGCGATAATCAACGGAAAGAGATAATAGAATTGTTCCACATATATCTTTATATTTTGTTTATATTAGTAAAATAATACGTAAACATTGCATAAACTACATTTCGACAGTTAACAGTTCTTGGAAGAAACTCTTGTTGAACACTTTGACTAAAAACTTTCTCTACTTCTATAACTTTGAAACTAAACAAGTTTTCGAGATGTTGACATGTCCCCTTCTAAAGATTGTTCTATGCATCCCAAGAAATTTACTACACATATACCATGTGAAATTATAATCAAAAGACAAAAATGTGAAAGATATTAGAGAAAATAAAAGACAAAATGATGATTTCAGTGGTATACAGTATTTCCTGTTGCGGTGACTTTCCAATCCCCTTAACTCATTATTACTGCTGGCTGATTGATTCTCCATATGTTTCTTATTTCTTTTATGTAGTCTGTGTAATTTAACGAAAGCAAAATAATAATCCCCGTTGACTAATGATTAAATTTTCTAACTGCGAATATCGATAACCTTCACTGTACAAAGAATTCGTATGTTCCAGTTGATCACCAGTGAACCAAAATGAATCTGTTTATTTCACACACACACACACACACACACAAAAAAAAGAAAAAGAAAATCAAAACACCAGTTGTGAATAGATTGAATTGAACTTGATGTAAAACACAGATGCTGGGTTTTTTCACATGAGGAGGTAAATATACACTATATTTTTTGCTGTGTAACAGTGTACTTATTTCAGCCCATCAGTTCAGCTAGTAGTGGTAAAATTATAGTCAATAGACTTTATTATTACAGATCAAAGAGTTTACTAACAGGTAACTTTTCCGCACAAGTTTAGTCTTGAAATAATAATGAAAATAATACACTACACAAACCAAACATTCCCTTACGACTGATCATTTCGCTTCCAGGAGCATCAACATATAATCTATCTAAAGAACTTTTCAGGAAATTAAATAACCTAACAGAATCATGCGACCATTCTATCAATTCGTCAATCCAGGTTTTAGAGAAAATCAAAAACATTCAA